CCTCTGACATCCACTCAGTCTTCACATTCCATGATGCAGATGGCCTAGCACTCCCTCCCAACATCTTAGCATCTGTAGATATTGGGGGTACCATTCCCTTGGAGGCAGTTTGCAAATGTATGCGGTTTGTTGGCTTATTTTCTAATGAAGTTTTGCTTCAGCATTTAATGGAAACTCATGTTGTTTTGTTATCAATGACTTCCCCTTTGTTTCCTTTGTATTATTTATTAAGGCATTCTGCTAATTCCTTTTTGAAAAAGAAACTCAAGCAGCTTATAATATCTTCTGAATTTCATTTTGGAGGAGGAAAGGGAACATTAAAATATGCTTGTTATAAAAAGGGAATATTTTGCCTGATGGCACCAGGGCTGGCTATTGCAGATAATCTACCAGTTCCTTGGCCTCCCTAATTCTCCAAAGATCTTTTCCTTCAGACCACCTTAGCCCCTAACCAAGTGGGCACCCCCTAGACCAGTAGCAGCACTACTTTTAAAATCTGGATTTAAACATCCTATCCTCTGTCCCTAATCCCCCAATGGTCACAGTTCACTGCCTCCAGCCTCCTGAGGACCTCCTGGCTCTTCTCCATCACTCTGTCATCCAATAGGTAGAGAAGGCTCAGAGAGAATGTGTTCTGTCCATTTTTCCTTAAATTTGGTGTCCTCAGTTCCTTCCTCCTCACACAAGTTCTGTAATCCAGGGTCATAAGTGCTCCCTTACAAACTGAAGTAACTGCCTGCTAGCCCAGAAACAGAGTTTAAGCTCGTTAGACACAGTCTTCCACACACGCACCTGAGCAAACAATGGACGTGTAGAAAAAGTAACACACCCAGCCACCAGATGCTTCAGAATTTAGGCCACAAACTCACAAGGGTGCTCAACAAAATCAGACAATTCTACTACACTGTGTAATGTTACTGTTAAAGACAATTATTTCTCCCTTCTCCACAGTATCCAACAGATCCTCCCTCATCCCTTCCACCTTAACGAGTGATGTATGGAATGCAATGCACTTTATAAAAACTATTGGTTTTCCCACTTAAAAGAGCCATCACACCTCTACTCCCTTGAAACATCCTCCTTCAGACTCCGGCTCTCCCTGCTTGCTTGTCCTGCCTCTGCCTCGCTGAGTGCTTCTTTACTGCCTCCTTAGCTGGCTTTCCCTCCACCAAACCACTATACCTCAGAAGCCCAGGGCTCTATTATCGGCCCTCTTCTTTCCCCAAGACTAGTCAGATAGTCTTTCCAAGCTTCAAATTCTACCAGTTTTAGTTTTTCTGTGCTGTTACTGCACAATCAGTATGACTAGGTAATTTATATTTAAAAATCCCCCAAAGATTTATATATCTGCTCAGCGCCTGGAAAGACCCCACAATTTCTGAGTCTAGGAAGTGCAGGATCATCTGATGGGGGATTTCTTACTACATCCTTCATGACAAAATATGGGAAGGTCAAGAGAGAACCAACTCTGGCAGGCTGTTTTACAAGGACACATAATCCTACTTGAGGAAAGAGCCCTTGTTATGGTTTAGATCTAAAATAATCCCCAATGCCTCATGTGTATGGCAGGTGATTGGCTACTACAGCTAACTTGCAGTTAGGAGGAGGTGGCTCTGGTCAGCAGAAGTGGGTCCCTGGAAGTGTGACTAGGAAGGATGTCCCTCTCTTTTGGAATCTTCCCTTTACTCTGCGCTGCCTGAGTCCCTGAGGTGAGCAGCTGTCTTCCACCACGCACCTCTGCCATGCTGGTTCTCCTTGGGAGTCTACTGACCACAGACTGAAATGTGAGCCAAAAATAGGGCTCTTCTCCTTTAAGTTATGGGGGCCAGGTATTGTGTCCCAGTGAGGAGAAGGTAACCAAGATAGCCCTCATGGCCTCATCAGTCCTGATAGACCTTATTTTTTAATGCCATTTCACTGACAACCTCTGAAACCTGAAGGAGACACATTTAAACAACAGCTCCACTTCTACATCCAAGACTTCTGTCTCCAGGGCAGGCTTTTTCCTAGCTTCCAACTCATATGTTCAATTTGCCTCCTGAAATTCCAGTTAGATTTTCATCAGACATCTCAAATTTACCATGATGAGAATAGAACCATTGATCACTCTAGTAGGCTGAAAGATGGCCCCAAAGACAGTGAGGCTGGGGCTGGTGAAATGGCTCAGTGGTCTAAAGCACCTCCTTAGAACAAGCTTAGCAAAGCACAAAGACTGTGGTTCAATCCCCCAGCACTGCATGCCAGCCAGCCCCGCCCCATGGTGGGCTGAGCTGGCCACACACACACACACATACACACACACACATAAATAAAATTTTTTTAAAAAGACAGTGAGGCCCTAATCCTTCACCCATTAATATTACCTTGAAGGACTTTAATTTAAGGATCTAGAAATGGGGCAGTTATCATAATTACTCAATGGGGCCTACGTGAAATAACAGGTATTATGAGAGAAGCAAAGACAGATCTGATGGCAGAAGAGCAGCAGGGGTTATGACAACAGGAAAAAAAAATGGAGTAATGCAAGAAAGAGGCAATGCAGGCAAGTTTTAGAAACTAAAAAAGCTCAGGAGATAGATTCTCCCTCATAGTTTCCAAGAAGAAACAACCCTGATGACCCCTTCACTTCAGCCCAGTGACTGTAATCTCCAGAACAGTAAGAGCATCCCTTTGTGTTGTTTTAGGCTGCTAAATGCATAGCCATTTGTTGCAGCAGACATAGCAAACTCACACAGTCACCGCCACCATCACACCACTCACCCTGGTGCCCTCCATATCTCAACTGTTATTGGGGAGACTCCTTGCTAACTAAATGTTATTCCAAGTTCTTTCCGTCTCAAACAAAGAATCAAGCAAGACAAGCAAAAATGGTGATAAGGTTTACTCCAGTGAAGGATAAGGGAGAAACTGGCTCTGCATTTGCAGAGCGAACTTGGGGTGAACGAAAGAGAGGAGAACTTAAAAACTAAAATAAAACAAGAGTACATTGTGCGAGACTCCTGTGAGGAAAACCATAGCAGTGAGCTCTTCACAGTGTCTCTGTCCTTTAGTCCCATCCACACCTGTGGATTCCCCCAAGAAGTCTGCTTAGGGACTTCTGAGAATTCTTTGGTGCTTGTGTTCTGGAATCTGGTCATGCTTACAAGGTCCTCAGCCAGCCTTGCTGCTCCATGCCTTTCTGCCCCTGTGCCCCTACTCATTTAGAAGCTGAAGTCAAAAGTTTGGAGTTGGCTGGCCAGATAGCTCAGCGGACTAAAGTGCCCCTTAGGCAGAGCACAGCGGCTGGAGTTCAATCCCCCACAATTCGTGCCCCAACCCCCACCTCAGGCGCCCTGAGACAGTGATTGAGCTGGCCATAGCAGTGCATGCCTGTAATCCCAGTACTTGGGAAGCTGAAAACAGGAGAATCACTACGAGTCTGATCTACGTAGTGAGAACCTGTAGACCGTGTACTAAATACATAAAAAATAAAAATAAAAAAAGTTCAGAGTTGCCCAGGTATTTCTCTTTATTCAAACCTTACCTGTCAGCCAACCCGTCAACCTTAGCTACAACATACATCCTGCCCCAATGATGTCTCATTTTCTCCATGGGTACAGCCCCAGTCTAAGCCACTGCCATTTCCAATTTCAATGTTTGCATCATGTCTTGCTTAATTTTCCCCTTTTACTTTTTTTTTTTTCTTTATTCGTGGATATTGAACCTAGGTCCTTCCCACAGAGATGCATCCCCAGCCTCTTTTTTTTTTTTTTTTTTTTTAAATTTTTGAGAGAGGGTCTCACTAGGTCATTAAATGGCCCAAGCTGGACTCAAATCTGTAGTTCTCCTGCCTCTGCTTCCCAGGCACTGAGATGCTCCACCATGCCCAGCTTCCCCACATTCTTGTGCCCACGAGAGCCAGAGAACTTCAGAACTTTTTGAAAAGTAGATGAGGTTGCATGAGCCCCTCAGTTAAAATCCTTTAATGGCTTCCCACTACTTTCAGTATAAAACACAAATCCCTGTCATAGCCTACACGACCCAAGTATACTTCTGCTTGCTTTATTTGCCTTCCCTTCCCTTCATTTCCCTGGAGTAAGCATCCTGGTTTTCCTTCCATCCCCACCTGGGTCCATTCCCACCTCCTGGCATTTGCCCCTGTGTTTCCTAAGACTGATGCACCCTTGCATGGCTGCCTCCTCTCTTCTCATCATTTAAGTCTCGACTTAAACATCACCTGCTCCAGAAGCCTTTCCCAGCACCTGTGCAAGACAAGACCCTCAACACCAGCAGGCAGTGGCTCTTTAACTCGGGCTTTTTCCTCACAGCATTTGGCAACACCTGGAGCAGTCTGGTTGTCTCTCTCCACCACTGCTGTATCACCAGGCCTGGCACACAGTGGGCGCACCATTAATATTCAGTTGCCTTGGTGCCTGGTTTGGTTTGCTTTGACTTTACCACTGCCTGGGCCAGTATAACTGTACCAGCGTTCTCCTTCCAGGGGTGTTTGTATTCAGCAGCACTGGAATATCTGTGCAAAGACATAGTCCATAAATTTTCAGACGTCATTTGGCAGGCATGAAAGACCACAGGGTTTCTCTTATGTTGTTTTTAAAGGCAGACAATTCATTTAATATCTGCTAAATACTGGGTGCTGTGGATATGTAATAACAAAGAAGAAAAGATTTACGTTATGCCTCAGGGGCATAGTTTGGATTGTGTCAAGCCAGGAAGGGAGAGAATGGAGTGGAAGGGGTAGGCAAAGGTGTTGTATATGGGTGCTCTGTGCCTCATGAGCTTGGCAGAGGAGGCCCTGCCACCTTCTCCACACCATGATTTGTCAAGCCCTGGGAATCAAAGGGTGGAGATCAAGTGACTCAGAGCTGGAAGGTAGGTTTGAAGAACACAACTTAAACCAGTAATTACCTATCTGTGAGCCAAGGGAGACCCTCAGTTCTCTGGCAGGGACTTGTCTTCTCATGCTTAACCTTTGTTTCTTTGTCCTCTCCTGGCTACCTCAGGTCTCATCATCCATGAGGGACCCTCCGTGTACCGCATCTTTAAACGGTGGCAGGCTGTCAACCAGCAGTGGAAAGTGCTGAACTACGACAAGGCAAAAGACCTGGAAGAACAGAAGGCAGGAGGCAGGACAAACCTCCGGACCTCCTCATCCACCCAGGCCAACATCCCCTCGGAGGGGGAGGAGGAGGAGGCAGCTGGTACCCCTGTCCCCGAGGAAGGCCCCACCCGGGCTGCCAGCCACCCCTCAGACCCTCTGTCCCATCACCACTGTGCTTACACCATCCTGCACATCCTGAGTCACTTGAGACCTCAAGAACCACGGAGCTCCCAGGGCAGCAGTCGAGAGCTCGTCATGAGAGTCACCACGGTGTGACAGCAGAGACCTGGAGACAGGCAGAGCATGTATGCAGAGAAGCTGGGCCAGGAGAGGCCGTGGAGCAGCTGTGGGGAGGCCTGTGGCACCTGAGCCAGAGCAGATGCCAGCAGGTGGTGGTGGGCCTCCAGGGGAGCCAGGCAGGGTGGAGCTGGAGGGCACTGGCATCTGGAGCCATGGATGATTGCCAGTCAGTCAGTGTCACTCTCCAATCACCACAGCAACAAAAGCCAGTACAAACTGAACAACAAGGATCCAGACAGGCAGAACAAAACCTAGCAGAATAACCTCCCAGGTGCACCCATATAAGCAAGATACCCAAGAGAGGCTGCTGGAGGGGCAAGGCTGGTACAGCGGGTGGTAGTGCCCTGAAAAGAAGCACCCAGGGGGACCAGTATTTGGAGCCCACTCCTTTCATACTCAAGTCTTTTTTCTTTCTCCCTAGCAGGTGTTCCTGGGCAGTCATGGGCAGGGTTGGACAAGCTTGGGCTGGTACATAGGCTTGGGGGCTCCTGGGGTTCTTGGCCCAACTGAAAAGCAGAATCCAGTGACTCCGGTGGCTTTTGGGATCGTGGATGGCTGATGCTGGGGGAGAGGTGTTGGTATGAGTGGCCAGAATGGAGTGTATCTTCTCCCATCAAGACTTCCCCAGCTGAAACTCCCAATTTCAGGTGGGTTCGAAGAAGGCATGGGTTTGGAGATGGGTATTTTTCTGTGCCCTTGTTACTTGATTTTATGATGATTTGAATCAAAAGATGTTTACAGGACATGGACACACATACACACACAAGACATGGACACACACAGGACATGGACACACACACACACACACACACACACACACACACACACACACTCACACTCTCTCTCTTAGAAAAAGTATGGCTTCCCAGTGGCTGTTTATCTCAAGCACAGTGCTGCTTCTGTGGCCTCCGCCTTCCACATTGTCAGTCCAGGAGTAACTTTCCCAACTACTCAGACCTACCCGTGGTGGGGATGGCTCAGTGCTATGCCCCTTGGCTCAGGCCCAGACTCAGACCCCCCACACAGGGCCCCTCCACTGCCAATCACTGGGTCTCCCAAGAGGGCTGCTGCAGCGTGGATGGAAGCTAGCCGACAAGCCCCGAGTGGAGTGGAGACCGGCTTCAGTATTCCTCACTGCCTGGGACCCTCCCAAAGCCACTGCTCAGTGCTATGTGTTCCTGGTCCTTCCTGGGCAGGCAGGCAGGGCCAGGGGTCCTGACAGGGAGCACTGGTTTTGGATGCCACCTGCTTGTTCCTGCTGGGGAAGGCCACTGAGTGGTCACCTGCAGTTTCTTGTCATTGCACAGTGGCTGTGTCATTCTTGGGTATTAAAGGGACACTGTCAAGTACTTTTTTAAAACTAGTTTTTAGGGTTTTTTAAAACTCCCTGTTGTTTGTAATATTCTCTTAAAAGCTTGAAAATAAAATTTCTTTCCCTACCAGTAGTGTCTCCTTCCATCCTCCTTTCTTTTTTTTTTAATTTTTTTTATTATTTATTTATTTATTTTTAACTTTTTAAAGTTTCTAATACTAGAAGATATCATACAATGTCTTTTAAATAAGTTGTAAGTCAAAGATACAGTATAAATCTTAGAACAAAAATTAAGAATAAGCAATATTCAGAAAATTAAATATTTCAAAACAATTGAACTAAGAAAAAGGTTTCATGATAGCAAAGAAGTACTAAGAGTAAAACATAAGATAAATACTGGAATGGCAAGTAAATGACCAGCACTTCTAACAGTTTGAGGATAGGATATCACACAAAGTTCTAGTGTGCTGTGGACATGCA